TGTGTGTGTATGTGCACATATGTATGTATGTATGTGTATATATATACACACATACATACATATATACACTTATAGACACAAACACACACACATATACAAAGACACACACGCAAACACATATATGATCCAGAAGCTGCAATAACAACACCAATAGGCAAAAACGCAGCCACCTATCCCTAAAAGTCAACAAAAAACACAAAAAAACTCGTCAGACGATCGCCTGTGGTCACCATGTGGAACGGGTCTAGGGTTGAAAACTGCTAAAAACCGGTATTTGTGACATAAAAAAAAGAAGAAAAAAAAAGAAAGGTAAAAAGGAGGCTTTTACATTCTATTAATACACTGCTTTTGATGGCCATATGTTGGTACATGAGAGTGGAAAATTGTGGGCGAGTGCTTGTGTTTGTTCTGTGTTTGTATGTGTGTGTGTTTATATTTTCGTGCGCATGTGCGTTTGTTTGTTTGTATCTGTACATGCTTATGCGCGTGATTGCATCCTTATGTATTTTGTATTCGTATAAGTGACGGCTTATATGTACAAGCGAGTACATATATAGGATATATTCTTACACACATTCCAACACGCTGCCAAGACAGGGTCAGGTGCCAGTCTGGGGTTGTGGGAAGACCGAGCATTGTATTTCCATCTCCAATGCTTTATGGCGATTACCTGTGTTTAACAATACGGCCTTGTCTTTGTTTATGCTTTCGTATTTATAAGTGTGTGTGTGTGTGTGTGTGTGTGTGTGTGTGTGTGTGTGTGTGTGTGTGTGTGTGTGTGTGTGTGTGTGTGTGTGTGTGCGTGCGTGTGTGTGATTTGGTATGTGAGTGTTTGCCTATGTATTAGGGATTGGAGTGGAATGTATACATAAGATTATGTTTGAATGTGTGTGTTTATGTTCGTATTATGTGAGTGTTAGAGGTGATTTTTTTTTTCTTTTTTTTTGTAATTAAGTGTTTATGCGTATGTGTGAACGTGTGTTTATGTATGTATGCGTTTGTATGAGTGTACATATGTTTTGCGTGAAGATGAATATATTTTTTGTGAGTGTGTGTGTCCACATGGCTTTTGTGGAGAAAAAAACAACAACTGGACCAGGAAAGGGTTAACTAGTCAAAAAAAAAAAAAAAAAAAAAAAAAAAAAAAAAAAAAAAACAGTATCACTTTGCATCTAATTCATAAGCCTATCGTCTTGACCTTCTGGTAGCGAAGACGAAGAGGGAGGTCGCATAACTACGTGTAAAGGGGACGGACATGAAAGCACACACACACACACACACACGCACATATATATATATATATATATATATATATATATATATATATATATATATATATATATATATATATATATATGTACATATATATATATATATATATATATATATATATATATATATATATATATATATATATATATATATATATATATATATACTATACACATATACATATACACTTACACACACACACACACACACAAACACACACACACACATATATATAGATAGATAGATAGACAGATAGATAGATATGAATATGTATGTAATGAAACAAAAAACATCCAAGAACCCAAGACAAACGTGAAAGAATGCGAAGGCAAAAGAAGAGACAGCAAGGAAGAAAAAAAGGATTTGAAAAATAACGTCGACAGGGTATTGAAAACGATCCCCAGGAAAGACGGAGCATTTGATACCCAGTGGGTGTCTTTGGCATGGGATTGGGGGGGAGGGGGGGAGAGGATGAGAGGGGTAGGGCACCATGGTAGGGAAAGAGGGTCGTTGTGGTAGGGGGGGGGGGGCACTGGTAGAGGGAAGGATAGAGGGAAGGGTGTTATGATAAAGGGAAGGAGAAAGGGGAAAGAGCGAATAGATTGGAAAAGACTATATGGGGAGATGAGAGAGAGAGAGAGAGAGAGAGAGAGAGAGAGAGAGAGAGAGAGAGAGAGAGAGAGAGAGAGAGAGAGAGAGAAAGAGAGAGAGAGAGAGAGAGAGAGAGAGAGAGAGAGAGAAAGAGAGAGAAAGAGAGAGAGAGAGAGAGAAAGAAAGAGAGAGAGAGAGAAAGAGAGAGAGAGAGAGAGAGAGAGAGAGAGAGAGAGAGAGAGAGAGAGCGAGTAATCTTTTCATACAGGAAGAAGTAGATAGAGGGAAGTAACTGTGGCACGGGAGGGGTGTGGGCATTGTGGTAAGGAAAGGAGCAGAGAGACCGGCGCTGGAATATGGATTGGGGGAGAGATAAGGGTATCTGCCTTAGGGGGGGGAGGAGAGTGTGGCCTGTAGCGGAGGGGAAGGGAGCGCCAAGTGGAAGAGGAAGAGTATTGTGGTTGTGGTTGTGTGTGTGTGTGTGGGGGGGTTATGGTGGTAGTGGGGGAAGAGAGGGGTAAGAGATATGGTGGTAGTGGGGGGGGGGGGGGTATTGTGGTATTGGGAGTTGTAGGGGCTATTTTGGCAGGAGGGAGTGTTAGGGTACTACGGAGAGACAGAAGAAGTAGGGGTATGATGATAGAAGAAAAAGGGGTAGGGGGTATTGTGGCAGGAAGAAGGGACAATCAGTGTATTATGGGGAGGGAAAGAAGGGGTATATTTCGTGGTGGAAAAGGGGCATTGGAGTTGGGGAAAGGGGAGGGATATCGCACTACCGGATAAGGTATGATGGAGGGGGATGTAAGTTATGTTAGCAGGGAGTTGGGGTATGTGTTTCAGTTGTGTGGGGAAGGAGGAGAGGGA